AAAGAGTGGAATAGAGACTTGTCCAGGTGAGTGAGCAAGGTACAGCTGACAAGAAAGAGCAAACCAGTAAGCAACTTTGGAGATTTTAGAATAGAAACTGAGTGAAGCACAGAAGATGAAATTACTGTCTTTTATAGGGATGCTGGTGCTATTATGAGTGAGCATCTCAGGCCCCTTTTTCCCCATTACTCACTTACCTTTCTCATTTTCAACATTTGTTCTTTTACATTCTTCTACTATCCACTCTTGAAATATATATGTTCATGTTTCCTACTCCCTTATCTTACTTACAGTATTTGTGGTTTGATAATTTTTCTTTATTGTTTGTGATTCTCCCTCCCTGGGTGTCCATAGCTTCTCTTTCCTTGGGGGTTTCTCATCAATGGTGATTGTATTACCTTGGCGCAGATCTCTTCCTCCACTTGCAGTTGACTTTCTTGCCAGGCTTGCTTTTAATGATCTTTATTCACAGGCCATCACTAAGTCCTTTCAAAGGACAGACTGCAGGGATCTCTTTTCTGCCCCGCAAAAGAGATACTCACTTCTGGTAATTTCTTTCAGATTTGGCGAAACCTGCTTCAGAGCAGGATGTCTCCGAAATCGATTCACCAGGGATAATAGCAAAACAATTTCAAGAAGATGAATCTACATTTGAAGAAAAATATACATGTGAAGGCATGAAGGAAAATTCTCCCATTGAGGTCCCTGAGCCATATCTCTTCCAGGAAGGTTTTGGGGAAATAACTTTGGTCCACAAGAAGAGACCTGAAATGAGTAGCCAACAATATAATTTTGAGAAAAGGTTGCTTTTGACCTCAAGCCTTGTTACCCATCTGAGGGTTTCCTCAGAAGGGAGCCTGTATCAGTGGGAAACAAGTAACATACACCCCACTGTTATTTCAGACCCAGGTAAATGTCTGACTCTTTCCACACACAGAAAATCTTGGAAATGTAATGAATGTGGGAAAACATTCACTCAGAGCTCATCCCTTACCCAGCATCAGAGAACTCATACTGGAGAGAGGCCCTATGTATGTGAGGAATGTGGGAAAGCCTTTAGTCGTAGCTCATTTCTTGTTCAACATCAGCGAATCCACACAGGAGTGAAACCCTATGGATGTGGGGAGTGTGGGAAAGCATTCCGATGCCGGTCATTTCTTACTCAGCATCAAAGAGTCCACACTGGAGAGAAACCTTACAAATGTAATGAATGTGGGAATTCCTTCCGCAGTCACTCACATCTCACTGAACATCAGAGAATTCACACCGGAGAGAAACCTTATATGTGTAATCGATGTGGGAAAGCATTCAATCAAAATACACACCTTGTTCATCATCAGAGAATTCACACTGGTGAGAAGCCATATTTATGCAATGAATGTGGCTCTTCTTTTCGCAAACACTCAAATCTTATCCAACATCAGAGAATTCACACCGGAGAAAAGCCTCATAAATGTGATGAATGTGGGAAAACCTTCCAAACAAAGGCAAATCTGTCTCAGCACCAGAGAATTCATACTGGAGAGAAACCCTACAGATGTAAGGACTGTGGTAAAGCCTTTTGTCAGAGCCCATCCCTTATTAAACACCAGCGGATTCATACTGGGGAGAAGCCCTATAAATGTAAGGACTGTGGCAAAGCATTTACTCAGAGCACCCCACTCACTAAACATCAGAGAATTCATACAGGGGAGAGACCCTACAAATGCAGCGAGTGTGGGAAAGCCTTCATTCAGAGCATCTGCCTTATTCGGCATCTGAGAAGTCACACAGGGGAGAAACCATACAAATGCAATGAATGTGGAAAGGGCTTTAATCAGAACACCTGCCTCACTCAGCATATGAGAATTCATACTGGAGAGAAGCCCTATAAGTGTAAAGAATGTGGGAAGGCCTTTGCTCACAGCTCATCTCTTAATGAGCATTATAGAACTCACACCGGCGAGAAGCTCTATAAGTGTAGCGAGTGTGAGAAAACCTTCCGCAAGTATGCACACCTTAGTGAACATTACAGAATTCATACTGGTGAGAAGCCTTATGAATGCATTGAATGTGGGAAATTCTTCAGGCATAGTTCAGTCCTTTTCAGACATCAGAAACTTCACAGTGGTGAATAATCCTGACCTTTTGATGGTGATAATTTCTGTAGCAAAAATGAAGAGGGATCTGGTCAGGAGCAAGGGAGCAGGTAGAGGTCCTAGGGGGAAGGCTGGAGGAGCCCTGGCTATGGCATCCTGAGTAGAGCATTTCCAGAAGTGGAGATGGAATTTGGAGAATGAAGAGCCTATTCCAGGTGGGCCTCTGGGATGTCAGTGTAGAAAGGAAGTTTCTGCTTTTCAGATAAAGCCTGCAGGTTTTCACTCCTATCTGTGGGATTCTGACACTTTGAGAAGGCATTTGTGTTTCCTTTGCTACACCCTGCCCCACCTTCTAGCCTTGTTGCCATGTTCACTGGCTGGTGGATGGAGGTACTTTGCAAACTGCCTGTCAGGATGTTCCAAGCAATCTGATCAAGCTACTGTGGGGGAGGATTCCCGACCTCTGGAAAAAAAAAAGTGGTTTGAATAGGAGACAAGTGAAAAATAGAGTTTGTATGAACTCAAATTAGGACATATGAGAGCAAGAACTGGGATGATCTCTATAAATGAGCTGTTCAAGATGGCCTTTACCAGAGTGAGGAAGATATTTTATGATCCTTTCAGACTGGTGTGCAACTTGGAACTAAAGGAAGTAGTAGATCAAGCAATTTCAGTCACGTCAGTTTTGTGGGAGGAGAGTCAAATCTGCTCAGAGGTCCACAGAGGGGAAAGTCTGACCTCTGTTCTGGAGAAATACTGTCTTACCCAGGAAAGAAAATGGTCTGTGCTAGACTGCTGATGTTACAATGAGCAATGCAGGGAGCCTATACTTGACTGAGCAAGTCGACTACATGACTCTCCCTTGGACTTAAGTGCACATCTACCTCCAGTAGTTTGGGCCACTGCTCCACTGGGTCTGGAGAGAGAGACCCAGTAGGACAAACAGTGTCCTAAAGAGAGAGAGAGAGAGACTTGGTTTCTTGGCCATAGGGAGAAGGATTTAACGGTGAAGTAGCATTTTATGATGATCAACCTTTCAAGCTGTTAAACTTCTTGTTAAGAGGGTGTTGACATTTGTTGTGGAATGACTGCAAAGAGTCCTGAATAGAGTTATCTCTACTTCAAATCCCTGAAAATCAAGAAAGCACAGTTTGTCACTAACTGTGATGATAATATCAATTTTTCTTTATTTCTCCAACTCCTTTCCCGTTCATGAGTGCTACCCAGAGATTGAGCTCCAGAGGATTAAATGACGATAGCCTCTGATTTATGATTTAAATAATCCTAAACTCTAAAGCTAATAGTCATCTTTAAAATATGTTTGTTAAAAGCAACTAAAGTGGACCAACCTGTTGCATTCTGGTTAAGGCAGCTGAATACCAACTGGCTGAGAAGTCACAGACCCAGCAGCTTGAAAACCATGCTGGGTGTGTGTGCTTGTGTGCCCAAAACCCTGAGAGGAGAATGGAGGAGAGGGATTGCAGCATGGCCATCTCCCTTGAGGGTACTGCCTCCCTTTCTCTTTCTCTCTCTCTCTCTCTCTCTCTCTCTCTCCTCTCTCCTCCCCCTGCCTCTCCCTCTCCCCCCCTCCCCAGCAAGCACACATACTATGTAGCAAAATTTAAAAGGAAAAAATAAATAAAGCGGTAATTCTGGAGGGCTTGGTTATTTGGAACTCAGTATAGAGTTTCCAGAACAGTTAACTTGTAAACAGGTTTGGGACTTTAATGGGAATGTGGTAGAAATATCACATATGCTTTTCCCTCTCCAGCTATGAAGATCATGTTCTCAGAACCTACCACAAGGGAATTTGTAATTGAGGAAAATTATACATGGTTGGCAAATATAACCCTATGAAAGCTTTCTAAATATTCTGTGTTCACAAAAATAAATATTTTGTAGAAAGCCAATGTCAGTGTATTTGTACTTTCTAGAAACAAAACAAAAGAAACCACTATAGAATTAATTGGTGGCATATAGTAAGTGGCCAGTATTTATTTGATAAATTAATATATTTCAACCCAATTTTCCAGCTGACCAATTTCAGGAACTTCCTGATGTATAGGTATTTACAGTAAAATTTATACACTACTCAAAAGTGCTTGAGGGAACCAGCAGTTAGCGTAATGGCTATGTCGCTGGACTCCCACGTAGTCGACCACCGTTCGCGTCTTGGACCCGGTGGCTTAAATCTCACGCCGGGTGCGTGTGCGTGCGTGCCCAAGATCCCGAGAGGAGAATGGAGGAGAAGGGATTGCGGTGTGACCATCCCCCCTGGGGGGTGATTTCTCGCTTTCTGTCTCTATGTCTCTGTCTGTCTGGCGAGCGCACGCGCCTTATAGCGAAAACCTCTCCAAAGAAAAAACAAGTGCTTGAGATGAGCATAGAAAAATAGTCCTTTTTAAAAAAATAGACAAAGTTCATATTATATATGCACACTCCGTAGTGATCGAGGGTTTCACATATCCATCAGTCCTGCATCCTCCTGCATCATTTATCATTTCCTTGTGAGAATATTCAAAATCCAGGGAGAGTTTTCTAGAGAAAAATGGGAAAACCTTAAGGGTGGACGATCTGTCTTAAATGTTTGTGAGAAAGATTTTCTAAAACGGAATAGACACAGTCTTGAGTTTTTATTGTAGGGCTAAATCAGTCTGGTGTATTTTCACTTACTGGAGAAATAAAAGACAGGAACTTTAATTTCCACAGGACCTCCCCCCCCCACACACACACCATATTCTCAGACTGCTCTTAATGATCTCAGTTCCTGGACAGTGCTGTGCCTGCCTATTCCAGTGAGGCGTTAAACTCTCCCTCCATCTTCTCTCATAATTCTTTTTTTTTTTTTTTTTTTTGCTATAGGGCGCGTGCGTGTGTTCACCAGACAGAGAGAGACAGAAAGTGAGAAATCACCCCCCAGGGGGGATGGCCATGCCGCAATCTCTTCTTCTCAGGATCTTGGGCACACACGTGAGCCCAGTGTGAGTTTTAATCCACTGGGTCCGGGGCGTGAACCGCGGTCGACTACATGGGAGTCCAGCGACATAGCCATTATGCTAACTGCTAGTCCCTCATAGTCAATCTTAAAATTCATTAAGCTACTACATCCTGTAGGAATTTGCTCTTTAATGGAAGCCATCTCCACTGCTCTTTTGCAGCGCTCTAGTTTATTTCTTGGAGTATTTTTCTTCCCCTCCCCCCTTGGGCTATTTTTCTAAGAGGCTTCCACTTTCTTGACCCACTCAGCTATCTTATACACTCCTTCTGAATGATCTTTATAAGCATAGTGGTCAGCTTTTATTCTAGGGGAAATGCTGCCCTGTAAGGCATTTGCAGCCCCTCATTTCACCCAATCCTGCATCCTCTGCTGCCATTTCTTGCCTGGCATAGTCTCTTCCCCAGTGCAGATTTTCCTGACCCTACATCACTCACCTCTGCACATCCTGTCCTTGTTTCCTCAGTTCCCTTCCTACTTCTTGCCTGGAAAACTGCCATTTGTCATGGGTGTCCTCAGCCCACATCTTAAAGCTGTCTTTCTAGCTTCAATCTATTTCTATCGTACTTTTCATCATTTTGTCATGTGACATTAGAAGTTTATTTACAGTCGCGGGCCCTTCCGGGCTCTGCGTGTCCCCCCGGGGCCCTGCTAAGCCGGCG